ATTTTGGAAGGTCTAATATGGAAAGGATTTACACAATGAATGGTCAGTCCCCAGAGGAGAATGAGACTCAAAGGGACCATAGTCTACAAGTCCATAGATCCCTGAAGGTGTGAGCATAGGTAGACACAGTGGTGAAGAAGGCATATAGGATGCTTGTCATCATTAGCCAGGGCACAAAATATAGCAGCAAGGAAGTCCTGTTCCAACTTTATAGATCATTAGTTAGGCCACAGATGGAATACTGTGCACAGTTCTGGTTGCCACACTATCAAAAGGATGTGGCTGCACTGGAGAGGGTGAAGAGGAGATTCACCAGGATGTTGCCTGGGATGGAAAGTTTCAGTTATGAGGAGAAATTGGGATTCCTTTCCCTGGCGCAGAGCAGGCTGAGGGGGATATGATAGTGAGGTTTACATTATTATGACAGGCATGGACAGAGTAGATCATAAGAATCTTGTCCCTATGGCAGATGTGTCTAAGACCAGAGGGCAAAAGTTTAAGGTGAGGATTAAGTGGTACAGAGGGCATCTGAGGATTTTTTTTTCCCTCAGAAGGTGGGAAAATTTTTTTTTTATTTCTTCATTTTGTGGGATGTGGGCGTCGCTGGCTGGGCCAGCATTTATTTCCTGTCCCTAGTTGCCCTTGAGAAGGTGGTGGTAAGCTACCAGCTTTAACCACTGCAGTCCACCTGCTGTAGGTTGACCCACAATGCCATTAGGGAGGGAAATCCAGGATTTTGATCCAACGACAGTGAAGGAACGGTGATATATTTCCAATCAGGATGGTGAGTCGCTTGGAGGGGAACTTGAAGGTTGTGGTGTTCCCATCTATCCTTGCCCTTGTCCTTCCAGATGGAAGTGGTCGTGGGTTTGGAAGGTGCTGTCTGAGGATCTTTGGTGAATTTCTGCAGTGCATCTTGTAGATAGTACACACAGTGCTGCTACTGAGCATCGGTGGTGGAGGGAGTGAATGCTTGTGGATGTAGTGCCAATCAAGCTGGCAGCTTTGTCCTGGATGGTGTCGAGCTTCTTGAGTGTTGATGGGGCTGCACTCATCCAGGCAAGTGGGGAGTATTCCATCACACTGCAGCTTGTAGATGGTGGACAGGCTTTGAGGAGTCAGGAGGTGAGTTGCTTGCTACAGTATTTCTAGCCTCTGACCTGCTCTCGTAGCCACTGCATTTATGTGGTGAGTCCAGTTAAGTTTCTGATCTATGATAACTCCCAGGATGTTGATAGTGGAGGATTCAGTGATGGTAACACCATGGAATGTCAAGGGGCAGTGGTTAGATTGTCTCTTATTGGTGATAGTGATAGCCTGGCATTTGTGTGGCATGAATGTTACTTGCCACTTGTCAGTCCAAGACTGGATATTGTCCAGATCTTGTTGCATTTGAACATGGACTTCTTCAGTATCTGAGGAATTGTGAATGGTGCTGAACAATGTGCAGTCATTGGTGAACATCCCCACTTCTCACCTAATGATGGAGTGAAGGTCATTGAAGCAGTGAAGACCCAGCACACTACACTGAGGAACTTCTGCAGAAAGGTTCTGGAGCTGAGATGACTGACCTTCAACAACCGTGACCATCTTCCTGTGTGTCAGGTATGACTCTAACCACCGGAGAGAGTTTTCCCCGAACACCCATTGCTTCCAGTTTTGCTAGGGCTCGGTGATGCCACACTCGGTCAAATGCAACCTTGATATCACTTGATAGAGCATGCTGCCTGAGACAGTGATGGGAGGAAATACTCTGACAACATTTAAGAAGCATCTGGATGAGCACTTAAATTACCAAGGCATAGTAGGCTATGAACCAAGTGCAGGTAAATGGACTTAATATAATTTGGTGTTTGTTGGTCGGCATAGACATGGTGGGCTGAAGGGCCTGTTTCTATTAGCTCCGAGATTTCTGCCAGTACCATTCTGGTTTGGGGATGTTGGGACCATGTATGACAAAGGCCAGAAATGACTTGCCAGTGATTCTGTTCAGCACTTCACCACAGCAGCATCAGAGACTTTGAAAACTCAGTTTTGTATAAAATGGATTCTGCATCCTTCTGCTGGTAAAGCATAGCACCATTGTACTGGACAATGATCAGACTAAAATTATGTGACGTCAGTTCAGCAAAAATACTACTCAACGGATTTTATGACAAACACGATTTATCAAAATGCTTGAGGTTTGAATATCGGATGTGATTGTGAATGCTGGAAGACGCAGAGAAGCAATCAGTTTAGCATAGTTACTTATTTCTAAAAAGAAAAATCAAATGTTCTTTTAAATACGCAGCATTCAGCTATACGTATAGAGGTTGTTCAATATGTTTTTGAGGTAACAGAACTGTGAGACTTAACATTGTGACAAACTAGTTGAGAGTTTTATTTAATATTTCTCTGTCAATTAAATTGTCATTTATTTCTTGCCATCATCTCCTAAATTTACCTTACCATTACCAAGACTATTAGCAAATTATTAAGTTCTGAGGAAGGGTCACTTGACCCGAAATATTAATTTTGATTTCTCTCTGCAGATGCTTCCAGTCCTGCTGAACTTTTCCAGCAATTTCTGTTTTTATAACAAGTTATTAAGCTTCGTTATAGCTGGTGACCTCTTGGCATTCCTCGTATAAATGGAGTACATATTTCAGCAAACAAAAACTACTTTTGTTATAAAATTATTGCATCTGGATTCGTTGAATACTTTCTCATTCAAACTTTAAAAATTCCAAAATAAAATTCTTGACAGGATGTGTTTGATCAACAAAGTGAGGATAATGGCAGAAAATCATAAGAGATTCTTTTTGTTTGCTCAGTATTGGCATTTATTTCCTATTTATAAACACAGCAATATTCTCACTTTTTAGCCTTCCTTTCATAAGTCTGTCAAATTAAACGAGTTCTCTGTCACAATGTTTATTTCCCTACCTACATAAGATCTGGAGAATGTATTTCACCTGGTTACAAGAGCCTTTTAAAGTGGTACTTTAAAGATTAACAACCATATTTTCAAAAGTGTTGGAGAAAATACTGCATCTTAGATCTGGAGCTTGAAAGGCAAAACAAAATGTACGGGGAAAAAAGAAAGCATATTACTCAAATTTCCTTCATAATGGACCAAACGTGGACCATGTTCAAGTGCTCAGCTGAAAACCAAGAGGACAATGCCACCACCGTCACTGACTTCATTAGTAGAGGATTGTGTACCAAAGAAATCAATCCGAGTGTTTCCCAACCATAAACCTTGGATGAACCAGGAAATCCACTCCCTACTCAAGACCAGACATGCAACATTCATGCTGGGTGACCCGGACCAATACAAAAAATCCAGATCTGACCTATGCAAAGCCATCAGGGAGGCCAAGAGGCAGTACCGGACCAAGTTAGAGGTCCAGACCTATCAAACAGACTCCCGCCATCTATAGCAAGGCCTAAACGGCAATATGGGATACAAAATGAAACAGTGTAAGATAGCGGACAATGACACATCCCTTCCTGGCATGCTCAATGCTTTCTATGCTCGGTTTGAGCAGAATACTACCAGCGTGGCGACACCTGCCCCAGTAGCCCCAGACACACCTGTTCCCTCTGTCACCGCTTCAGAAGTCAGATCAGTCTTCCTGGGAGTCAACCCAAGGAAATGGACGGGCCCGGACGGTGTCGCCGCCCGAGCACTCAGATCCTGTGCAGACCAATTGGCGGACTTATTCACCAACATCTTCAACCTCTCCCTCCTACAAGCCAAAGTCCCCATTTGCTTCAAGAAGCCCACCATCATCCCTCTAACCAAGAAAACACATGCAGTGTGCCTTAATGACTACCGCCCAATAGCTCTGACTTCGATAATCGTGAAGTGCTTCAAGAGGCTGGTCATGGCCCACGTCAACTCCAGTCTCCCAGCCTACCTCGATCCCCTGCAATTTGCCTACCAATGTCATGGGTCCATAGCAGATGCCATTTCCCTAGCCCTGCACTCATCCCTGGAACAAAGACACCTACATCAGACTCCTGCCCATCAACTACAGCTCTGCCTTCAACACCATTATCCCCTCCAGACTGATCTCAAAACTCCGTGACCTTCATCTCAGCTCTGCCCTCTGCAATGGGATCCTCAGCTTCCTGACCCACAGACCGCTATCAGTGAGGATAGGTAACTACACCTCCTCCACAATAACACTCAACATTGAATCCCCCAAGGAAGCATCCTCAGCCCCCTACTGTACACCTACCACTGTGTTGCCAAATTCCGGATGAGCGCCATCTACAAGTTCACTGATGACACCACCGTAGTGGGTCAGATATCTAACAACGACAAGTCAAAATACAGAAGGGAGATAGAGGGCTTGGGGACATGGTGCAATGAGAACAATTTGTTTCTCAATGTCAGCAAAACTAAATAGCTGATCACTGACTTCAGAAAGAAAGGAGGAGAACACACCCCTACATCAATGGAACACAGGTTGAGCGGGTGCAGAGCGTCAAGTTCCTTGGAGCGATGATAACCGATGACCTGTCCTGGAGTCCCCATGTAACTGTGACAGTCAAGAAGGCACAACAACGCCTCTTCTTCCTCAGACGGCTCAGGAAATTTGGCATGTCCCTAAGGTCCCTCACCAACTTCTACAGATGCACCAGTGAAAGCAAACCGTCTGGGTGCATAACGGCCTGGTACGGCAACTGCTCTGCCCAGGACCGTAAGAAACTACAGAAGGTGTTGTGCACAGCCCAGACCATCACAGAAGCTAACCTTCCATCCATGGACTCCATTTACACGGCTCGCTGCCACAGAAACAGGTTCAGGAACCCTTCTTTCTGGCCGTTATCAGACTGTTGAATGGACTCTAGCCTCAAATAATGTAACCTGCAAGACTCTAAGGCTTTTTGATCTGCACATCCTTTGCTTGCTGTGATCTGCCCATACCGCTCGTAAACAAAGCTTTTCACTGTATTTCAGTACACGTGACAATAAAAACAAATAAATGAGAAAATCAAGGTCTTACCCTCAGTACCATTTGGTGGCACGGAATTATTATTGATGCAGGAATTGTCAAGTTTGGGACCATTGGGAGATTCACTATTTCCACTCATGCGACCGTGTGGACTTGCTAGATCCTGCATTTCCATAGACCTGCAAACAAGATATAATCCTTGTTTCGTTATGAAAAATATTTTAAAAGTACACACATATACATTTTGATCTCTATAAGCAGTCAAGGATTATGGAGAGGAGCAGGCAGCTAAGTGTAGTTAGGCCACAGTCAGCTCAGTCATGACTGTGCAGACTCAAAAAAGGGGACAAAACAGCCCTATCTCTGTTCCTACTTCTTGTGTTCTTAAATACCAGGCAGATTTAAGTCATTCAGAACTTGCTTTCAGAAAAGTGCACTCAGTTATCTTTTGCAGTCATACCCTACAACAAAAATTCAACCCAAGTATTGACGAGAAAGGATACATTTTGTTGAAGCTTGCGGTCATTAGGGTGTTCAGAAGATTATCATTGTAAAGGAGAACAGCATTTTGTACTCTTTGAGAAGAGACTGCTATAGGTTAGAAGCACATTCTGATTAATACAGGTGTTGCCATGGAGAATGCACCAAAAAAAATCAACTTTTATGGAACATTAAACAAAAATTATAAATCTGAAAATGGTGTATTGTTTTAACTGCAGATTATGTAATCAGAGCTATAATATGCTGCACATCCAAAACACTTCACATCGGCAGAGCTAGCTGTAGATCATGATCAAGTTCCTTTTCTTAGAAAGTAATATTAGAAACAGAACACAGAAACTCATGTTTAAACATAACTACCAAATCTAGTAATCACCATTTAAGAAATGCCTCGAGTAACAGTGATAATATTCAAAACATTTTAATCAAAATTGTGACCTTGCACAACTTGACAGAAATGTCACCATCTGCTTTTGTCATAATTAACTTTCTTCAACATTGATGTTCTATATTTAATCTAAGCTAATATAAATTCTCAAAATTTATCCTTTGACGGCAATTTTAAAATCTCATGTTAACATTATTGACATGACTTAAATGCATTTTTTTGGAAAAATAAAACACATCTCATAAATGATATGCAAGTTTAGTTTGTATCAGCCATCCAGCACTACAACCAAATAGAAAAATGAAGCTGAACTGGCAGGGAACGAGGCACTCTTGATATATATGTTTACTCTGGCTCTTAACTCTTAATTGTTTCTTTGTTTCCTTCACAGCATGAAACACGTTAAAATATTATTATGCTTTCCAAGTTGTTTGCTTTTTGGATTATATTAAGCACATCCTATTGAGAAGGGATAAGATTTACACCCATACAGTTTGTGAATGATTTACAACAACAACGTTGCTGGAAAAGCTCAGCAGGTCTGGCAGCATCTGTGGAGGAGAAAACAGAGTTAATGTTTCGGGTCCGGTGACCCTTCCTCAGAACTGATGGTGGCTGGGAAAACTTTAGTTTATATGCAGAAAATAGGGAGGTGGGTGGGATAGGGAGTAAACGATAGGATAGAGCCCGAAGAGAGAGAAAGACAGTTGGGCAGACAAAGGAGTTACTAACGATAAGGCTGGGAGGGTGAGTAGTTGGTAATGGGGACTGTTAGTGACTAACAACAGGGGGTGTGTAGTGGCAGGCTATGTGGTAACAGGGCCTGGTGTGTGGGGTGGGGGGCTGGGACATGGGAGAGTTTAGGCCCTGAAAGTATTGAACTCAATATCAAGTCCGGAGGGCTGTAGGGTCCCCAAGCGGAAAATGAGGTGTTGTTCCTTCAGCTTGCGTTGAGCTTCACTGGAACACTGTAGCAAGCCGGAGACAGAGATGTTGGCCAGGGAGCAGCGTGGTGCATTGAAGTGGCAGGCAACAGGTAGTTCAGGGTCTTTTTTGCGAGCAGATGATTTAGACTGTAAATGATTTAGACTGCTCTAAGTAATTTGGAGTACTTCAGTTGCCACTTCACAAAAAACACAGAAGGCTAAGCAACATTTCTCGTACTTATCTAGTTTACGACTGAGTCTACATTTCACAGAAAGCTAAATCAATTAAACAGGCTAGTGTATGAGTAAGTGCACTGTATAGTTATGTAATTTAGTATCCTTTGTGGAACTGGAAGATTTACATCAACAGCAAGACATTTCGTGATCCAAAATATCTTCAAAGTTCTCATTATTCACTGTCCACTTGGTGATTAAAAGGAACATTATTTTAAAAATTAATGATTTCTTCTCTCAGCTGTATGAATTTTCAATATAAAAAAAGTGTAACAAACATGGGATATTAATGATTGTGGATCTAGTGTCACAAATACTACGCTAAAACACGACCTTGTAATATCTGGAATTTATTTAGCTACTTTGCACAATCGGATCAGAAAAGTGAATAGTAATTCACAAATGAAATTTTAAAATTTTATAATATTCATGGCTAATAATTATAATAGAATTAATGTAAAGTTGCATTTTAAATAATGAAGTATGTTTTTGAAATCATTGTTAAAAGTTGTATATTTTTGAACAAAGCATAGACAACGTTTAACCATAGGGCATTCGGTAAAATTTCAACAATGCTTTTACCTGGAACCAGGAGAATCTGAAACATTGGAATCAGGTCGAGTTTTTCTTTCACCTGCCAGTCAAGAACAAAACAGCTCCTTGTTATTCAAGTGTTACGGCTCACCATATTCTCCAACAATAGGTCTCAGCTTGAAAAAGCATTCTTTCCCTTTATCAGAAAGGAAGAAAGAGAGACTCTAACAGAGAGTCACATTGTCCTTCAGTTGATCTTTTGTGCAATTTCCTCCTACAGGTCTTTTCTCCTCCCCATAACAGGGAAAGCAGCCAAATGATGAGAAGGTGATTCATCACTTGGTTAGACACCTGCAAACTGGATTAACCCTCCCTGCAATCAACATGCAAAGCAGCTTTGCGAAGGTAAGTAGCAAAAACTGGCTGGAAGCAGGTGGATGTGTAGAGCTGGATGAACACAGCAGGCCAAGCAGCATCACAGGAGCAGGAAGGGCTGAAGTTTCGGGCCTAGAGATAGCAGGAACTGCAGATGCTGGAGAATCTGAGATAACAAGGTGTAGAGCTGGATGAACACAGCAGGCCAAGCAGCATCAGAGGAGCAGGAAGGCTGACGTTTCGGGCCTAGACCCTTCTTCAGAAATGGGGGAGGGGAAGGGGGTTCTGAAATAAATAGGGAGAGAGGGGGAGGTGGATAGAAGATGGATAGAGGAGGAGATAGGTGGAGAGGAGACAGACAGGTCAAAGAGGCGGGGATGGAGCCAGTAAAGGTGAGTGTAGGTGGGGAGTTAGGGAGGAGATAGGTCAGTCCAGGGAGGACGGACAGGTCAAAGGGGCGGGATGAGGTTAGTGTGTAGGAGATGGGGGTGGGGCTTGAGGTGGGAGGAGGGGATAGGTGGGAGGAAGGACAGGTTAGGGAGGTGGGGATGAGCTGGACTAGTTTTGGGATGCGGTAGGGGGAGGGGAGATTTTGAAGCTTGTGAAGTCCCTCCCCCTCCCCCATTTCTGAAGAAGGGTCGAGGCCCGAAACATCAGCCTTCCTGCTCCTCTGATGCTGCTTGGCCTGCTGTGTTCATCCAGCTCTACACCTTGTTATCTCAGATTCTCCAGCATCGGCAGTTCCTGCTATCTCTGGAAGCAGGTGAAGGTTGGAAACTGGACTTATTAAACAGAAGTATTTCACCTCCAGCATCTTTAGATCTCTTACCTTCCACTCGCGTAATGAAATTCTATGACTATTCCCTCCCTGAGCTGTAATTGATAATGTCAGTTAATTTAATCAACTATGTAGATGCACTGAAGTGTATTTCAGGTCACAGCCATTAAACCTTACACTTATAAATTTAAACAACACAATGCGATTTAATCATTCGTTTAAACTCATTATCAAAAGTACCGCAGATAATAAATAATCTTTACAATTCAATTTTCTAATATTGCTCAAATAATGTTAATCTTTAAAGACTGGCACAGTGTCACTGAATAAAGATTCTTTATTGGAGAAATCGGAAGAAAACTTCCTAAACTTTCCTGTTTTAAAATATAATGTAAACCATAATTCGTTATCAAAGGCAATTGGAATATTGGTTATTGCAAGGGGAATGAATATAAAAAGGTAGGGAACATGTGCTACAATTATATAGGTATTTGTGGAGACCACATCTGGAGGACTGTGTACAGTTTTAGCCTCTTTACATGAGAAAATATGACATTTGAGGGTATGGAGATGGGATGGAAAACTGAGGAGATGATCAGCCATGATCCCAAAATGACTGGGCAGGCTCTTTGGGAAATCGCTTAGCCTGCAGCAATTTTCCTGATAACATCAGAAGCAGTTCACTTGACTGATTCCTGACCATAACCAGATGAACCATGATATTATCAAATGGTCAAGCAGGCTTAAGGGGCCAAATGGCCTACTCCTATTCCTAATTCATATATTCATATGTATGTACATTTGAAAAATACATTTTAATGTTATAGTTTATGTTTAACACTCACACTTCAGAGGTCAAACACTTACAAAAGCAAACATTTCCTCCATTACTGCTACTGATCTTGGTCGAAGGTTCATGATGAAGATGCACTTATAAAAATTAGCTCAGATAGAATTGTTTTGCAAAAGGTCATGTTATCAATCTCAATCTAAAGAAATTGCAGAGCTGATTAGATAAAAGAATAAAATTACATTTCAAGTCACAGTCAGACCTGCAAATTGTACAATGGAAGGAAAGATTTTCTAAGTTCCTTCACAGCATGAGCTGAAATGAAGTACAGTGGATCTCCCATCCCAGGTACATTGCAGAATGAATGCTTAAAAATGCTCAGTGGATTCAACTCCCTCTCCAGGATTGGAGGAGGAAAATAAAGACCTCTGTTCCAGTGAAGTACTGAGGGAATGTTGCACTTTCAGACGTACCATGTTTTGGATGAGATGTTAAACAGAGGCCCATAAACACTAGTTTAAAGAAAAATGGGAGCGTCAACACTGATGATCACCTAAGCAAGTCTTAACACTCATCCAACATCACAGAAGTAGATCATTTGGTCATTATCACATTGCTGTTTGTGGATCTTGTAGCCTGCATATTGGCTGCTGGTGTTTCCTACATTACAGCAAGAACTAATCTTCAAAAGTACTTCTCTGGCTGTAAAGCACTTTGGGAAATCCTGTGCTCATGAAAGATACCATAAAAATGTAAGTCTTTTAGAAGACAATAATGCTCTATAACAATTTGAAACAATATCTCACTATCTATCACAGGATGGCTACATTTCAGAAGGAAGCCATTCAACCCACAGCATCTATGCTGGCCCTCTGAAGGAACGCTTCACCTTGTTCCACTCCCCTTACTTTTTACCCGTAAGTATTTTTCTTTTCAGGTAATGATCCAATTCCTTTTCAATAGCCTTAATTGACCCTGCCTCCACCACACTCAGACTGTGCATTCCAGATCTTAAACACTCACTATGTGAAAAAAGTTTCTCCTCATGTCACCATTATTCCTTTTGCCATCCTTCGTAATTCTGAATGCCTCTTGCAAATCTCCTTTTAACCTTCTCTTTTCCAAGGAAAACAGGCTCACGTTCTCCAATTTTTCTACAGAATTGAGATTCCTCATCTGTGAAATCAGTTTTGATGTAACTTCCTTGCTTTTATATGCTTTGCCCCTATTGTTAAAGCTGAGGATGGTATATGCTTCATTAACAGATCTCTCAACATGTCCTGTCACCTTCAATGATTTAGGCACAAACAGGTCCAAGTCCTCTGTTCCTGCACACCTATATGTAAGTACATAACTTATAAATAAGTTTGTATCAGTTACCTTCTTCTATTCTGCTTTCGCAATTCCTATTCAAATCAAATCTTATTTTGAAAAGATTATTTTGAAGAATTTAAATAAATGTCAATTAGTTTTCTAACAGATCTTTCTTTAATATTCTTGAGTAGATTTGTAGCTCGGGTTGTGGATGCTGTGGTTGGTTTGCTCGCTGAGCTGGTTCATTAGTTTGCAGAACTAGAACAAATAGCTTCTTGCCCACTCTCCATAGCCCTTCAAACCATTACTAATTAAGAATCTATTTCCTCCTTAAATTACTCAATTTCCCAGCACCCACCTCACTCTGAGGTAGTGAACTCCACAGATTCACTTTTGAGAGAAGTAATTTCTCTTCATCGCAATTTTAAACCTTTATTCTTAGATTACCCTTTATTCTTAGATTATGACTGCTCATTCTAGATAGTCCCACAAGAGGAAACATTCTCTCCACGTCTACTTTGTCAATCCCCTTAAGCATCTTATATACCTCAAACAGATCTCCTCTCATTCTTCTAAACTCCAGGGAGTATGGGCCTAAACTGCTCAATCTCTCTTCATAAGTCAAAACCCTCTTCTCTGGAATCAATGTAATGAAATTCCTCTGAACTGCCTCCAATACAACTACATCCCTCCTCTAATAAGAGGACATAAGCTGCAAGCAATACTCCAGGTACAGTCTCATTAATGCCTTGTACAGTCACAGCAACACTTCCCCACTTTTTTACTCTATTCCTTTAACAGTAAATGCCAAAATTCCACTTGCCTTCCTTATAGCTGCTGTACCTGCCTACTAGCCGTCTGCAATTAATGTATGAGGACACGCAGATCCTTCTGTACCTAAAATATATGAAGTTTCTCTCCACTTACATATATGTTGTCTTTCTATTCTTCCGAGCATATCCATCTTCTGCCAAGCTTTGGCCCATTCACCTAATCTATCCATATACATTTGTAAATTTGTATAATGCAACTTACTTTCCGATCTATTTTAGTGTCATCTGTGTATTTGCCTTCTGTCCCTGCATTTGATAAGGCATCACACATTAGTCTACTTCATTAGATAAGAGGCCCTGGTGTTGGAGGTAGTACATTAACAGGGAGAGAGGACTGACTAACTAATAGAAGATAGAGAGTTAGGATAAAGGAAGCACTTTCAGGGCAGCAATCTGTGACTATAGTGGTGTGCAACAGAGATCAGTGCTGGGACCACATTCATTTACAACATATTCTAATGACTGGGATGAGGAAAGTGAATGTACTGTAACCAAGTTTGTGGATGACATAAAATAGGTGGGAAAGTGTCTAGTGAGTATGACACAGAGTCTTCAGAGAGATAGACTGGTTAAGTAAGTGGCGGTATTCAAAAACTTGGCAGACAGAATACAAGGAGGGGAAAGGTGAGATTATGCACTTTGGCAGGAAAAAGTAGATCAGCTGAATATTATTTAAATTGAGTCAGACCGCAGTAAACTACAGAACATTTGGGAGTCCTCATCCACGCATCACAAAAAAACTTGCATCCAAGTTTAGCAGGTCAAAGTGAAGGCAAATGGAATATTGGTCTTTACTTCAAAGGGAATGGAGTATAAACGTGGTGTGGTTTTGCTAAAGTGATACAAAGCACTAGTTAGACCACAGTTGGAATAATATGCATGGTCTGGGGCCTTTTATCTAAAGGGAAGATACACTGGTTTTGGAGACAGTCCAGACAATGTTCACTGGGCGGATCCTGGGTATGGAGGGACTGTCTTATGAGAAGAGATTGAATAGATTGGGCATGTAC